GCTCAGAAGCTTCACTGGAAGATAGAAGCTATTTCGTAGAGATTTCCCAAGCGTAGCTTAGATGTGGTACAAGACCGAAAGTATGGGCCACCCAGTGAGGATCGAACTCACTATTCAATCGTTCTAGCAAGACAAGCTTTCTAACCATTACACTATCTCACGATGCGCAAAGGAGCTATTTTGTGTACTAAAACTTCCTATCGCCGATTCCCACACCTTTATTTTACTCCCCGGCGAAGATCTAACAATTGTCACTCATATCATTTAGTTAAATTTTCGAATCTTAACTACTTTGTGTGAGCAATATCATATCGTTGAAATATCTTGTCAGCCGTTCCAAGATAATCATAGCCCAATTACGTTTTTCATCGTCCATTATTGTTTTTAATCACCGATCAATCATCTTCCAAAGTAAGTGATGTCCCAGAAAGGGATATATTTGATCGAAGTAGCTAAGTGGTTTTGGCTACTATAACCAAGTAGTACACGGTAGCAGTAATCGACTGATACTCGTCGTAGTCGGAGGTAATAAGTGTAGACCAATAGGATAACCAATGGCGTAGTCCAATGGACATCGTCATAGACTTAAACTCTGTCGTACCTACACGTCCGTCTGTATTTATGACGGACACCAGCCAATCATATTCCAGTGAGGGGGATCTCAGGTATATGCATATTCCATTATATCAGTAAGAATATTGAGGATAAAAACATTCATCGTCAGATATCTTGTCGACCGCATTTTTAAAAAAAATCAGTAATGCCACTAAGATTAAAGGGGAAGCGAAAGAGTATGAAAAGATTTTAGAAGGAACCGGAAACCCAATCCTAAACAGGAAACAAAGGATAAACTTCTACTCCTGTTCAAAAAGACAGGGGAGGAGGAGTGTGATATGCGAACCTATCTTTTCAATGCTTAATCGAGCTAAAGTAAAAAAAAAAAAAGAAAAAAAAGACGTTTTTGTTCAGCCATTTTAGAATTTAACTGCGTTTTCCACAACTATAGGCTTAGAGTTGAAACACCGGTTCCCGTATGATCTCCGAAATTAAGCAACGTTGAGCCTGGCCAGTAACTAGATGGGTGACCGCTTGAAAATAGCAGGTGCTGTAAGCTTGGATATGCGGGTGGTGTAATGGTTAACGGCTCGGAATTTAAAATCGGAGAGTCGAGTTCCAATTCTTGTCGGGTGTGTTACATTCACTTGCGTGCAAATACCCTTGGCAACGGTATGACGCCATCTTTTCTCCACCACCTATGGGTTAATTAATAGGACTTGTATCAGTAAATCATATCGTCAAAAAAATTCTTACAATCTAAAATATTTTTTGGCTATAAATAACCTATAAAGGGTTGATAAACCGTAAAAATACAACATGGCTGCACCCGATGTTTTGTTACTGGATGTCGGCTTTTGGTGAGACCAATTCATGTTGCTGCGACAATATAATATTATTCCTTTTTTAAATCTAACAATCTGAATAGTTGACAGTCTCCTTTGAAATTTTTTTATAAGACGACAGTAATTAAACTCAAATGGATCACGTCGAATAAGTTTACCTCAGATGGAAAATCAAACACAGGAACGAACAGTTTATAATAATAGTTATTAGTGAGGCTCGTGGAAATTTTACAGTTGTTGACACTTACACATATATATTTCTGCAATTATTGACAAAGTCCGACCAATATATGCATATAAATTTATACATATAAAATTGCTAAATAAAAGGCATAAAAATAAATAAATTAGGTTAGAAAGAAAACGAGTTGGGAGAAAGTAAGACAGGTGAGCGAGAGGAACGTCTAACATTTCCATGGTTTCGTTATAGAAACGTTTATTGTGCGTTTGTAAAATGTAACAATCGTAATTCATTAAAAAAAAAACCTATGAGAAAATAGGAAATGTTTTCGTGTGACGCCTTTTGTCCTTTAGGACTTTATAGGACTAAAGTGATACTTACGTTGATCTGACTAGGCATGCGCACAAAAAATGGGACGCTAAGAATTTTAAATTTAATTAATTTATTTTTTTTAAATATATGTTTTGGGTATATAGTCTAGCCAATTTCATTCAGTTTCGTTCTCTTTTATTTATGTTGACATGACATTTGTTATTAAATACCCACATTGTGATAATGTAAGATCTATCAAGAAAGGTGAAATCTTGTAAGAAACTGGATGCAAATTTATTTTGGATAATCTAGCGATCAAAGTGATTTAATCTTAGTAAATTGCTTTATGTCTTAATTAGAGTAGCATTTTTTAAAATCAAATTTATGGTCAGTTGTTCTTGATATATAAAAAATATATATTGTTTTCTCATGAAAAAATGTATATAGTTTTTAACATAAAAACTATAACAATTGTTTATTCTGTTTAATTACTTTTGAATAAACTGTACCTTCACCACGCAGAATGTCAAAACTCTCCACAGCTTCCTTTTCTTTAATATGTGTAAACTCTGCATTGCCATGATTGTTTTTTTGGAAAGAAAGAGGGTATCTTTTCTGTTAATTCATCCCAAAATATTAGTTGACCACAAAATAAAAAGAATTTATATTTACTAAAATTCATGCCCTTCTATTGCGCTCTGGTTGGGTTGATCTTTGTGATCGCCCCAAATGTGGGCGACTTGGATGCGCTACTTCTAAATGTGGGGGGGTCTACGCTCACCCCGATAAACAAAACAAAAAAAGATTTTTTTTTTTTTTTTTTAATTGTAAAAGATTTCTTGTAAGCAGATCGAATATCTTCCGCCCTTACGAAATGCAAATAACTTCCTAATTTTTGGTAATTTTTCATTCTGAGCGTTGGCAAGCTAAACAAATTTTTATTTAAAATTTATGATTTTAAAAGAATACCAAAAATGGAATAAAAAAACAAAACAAACTTTGATTTTAAAATTTATAATATCTCGGAGTGAATTAATATTTGCGGTAAGTAACTTTACATTATTTGGGGTGAATTAACAGAAAAGATTCGAAAGTGGAGTATTGGGTACAGTTCAATCGCCAGGTAATGACCTCAGCCCCATCCCGAAGAAGAGGTATGGAAAAGGGGATATGGCCCCCATGGGGTTTGTACTGATAAACTGAAACTTCCCGGCTAAGACAGGTGTATATTGCTAACCATTGCTCTGCGACATAACTGCCTTTGTTAAATAAAATAATTACAGAATTATTTCCTTTGTCTCCCGCTTTCCTTTGAGTCTCGAACCAACCCTGAATCTTCCGTGCTCCTCATCTTTTTATTAATATTATCTTCTCAGTCTTTGTAGTACTAGACTAAAGAGATAAATGGTTTGTTATCTTAATACAAAATTCTAAGTGGATGCAATAAGTTCTAAGTCAATCTATATTCACGATAATTCCCCACTTTTTTGCTGCCTATCTTTCGATGTATGAATATATACTGTAAACAAAAGCACATGCTTAGAACACGAGACGTGGATCAATCTCTCCATAATAATCCGTGAAACTAACTTGCACACAACTGCTGATTGAGGAATCGGAGAGTCGTGTTCGAATTCCAGTCGAATCCATTACATTCACTTACGTGCTAATACCCTTGGGAAAGGTATGAATCCTCTTCTTCTCTCCCCAGCTATGGGTAAATAGTAGGATAGACCGGGTTCTATAGCCTTGGATGGCAACTGGTCTACCGCACTCTACCTTTTTCTATATTCTCGCTATTCATCTTTGTTTCTCTATGTCCACCTTTTCTTTCTTCCTACCCAAAGAGCCAGCAGTCGATGTTCGAGTAGAAATAAATACTTCGAATACAGAATTTCACAGTAGCCAAACCCATTTGAATAAACTGAAATTATATATTGGGCTGGTGCATAATTATCAGGCGTTTTTGTAGGTGAGATTTATTAATAAAAATTGCTGTTTTGTTTACACTTTTTTAAATAAAAATATTATTTTATTTTCAGGTTATAAAAATGTGTGTTGATAATCATACTCATTTAAAAATGTTATTGTTGAATTGTTATATTTCTTTTTTCATAATAAATATTGTTTAAAAACGCCGCCTGATAATTATGCACCAACCCAATAATTTTTCTGTCTCAGTTTTTCTTTTGGCAATCACTATATTCAAATAAATACTTGTAAAATCCATGTTTCAAATTCCGACCTCTTTCGTTGCATTCACTTTCTCATTAATGGATTTGGGAAAACGTGAATCCATATCTCTTCTCCCAAATTATGGGTTAAATAGCAGGATAGACTATGGTTTCTATCTTTGGGTGGCAGCCTGCTTCAGAGGACTATAGTGAATTCAAAACAGGAGAGAAGGCAGCAGAAAACCACTTCACTGTCATCCCTAAGAAGTCAATTCAAAAATACTAAAAGAAAAAAAAATTAAAAAATGGAGAGCTATAATCGCTTATGTCGCATTGTTGGAGGGATTTCAAAATATGAAACACGAGAAACTATTTTTATTTTTTTACATTTAAGTATTCGTTGGTCTCTTTTGCGCAACTGTGTAAGCTGTTGTCTTTTTTTTTTTCCGGTCACTCTACGTACAATAGATGTGCATGTGGTGTAATGGTTAGAGGATCGGAATGGGGAATCGGCAATTCGAGTTCGAATCACGGTCGAGATCATTACATTTATTTTCACACAGAGAAAATGTGAAAACATCTTTTCTCTAGCTCTGCGTGAAATAACTCTCTAGCCGTGGTTGGCAGCCACTATAGAAGCTCTGAATTCGAAACTGTGGCCCTGGCGCAGCATATACTTTAACTGTAATTAGGTTCGCTCAAGTTAGTTGCAATATAAATCACAGGTTGGTTCTTTGGGTATTGAAAAACGCAAATGGCTCTGAAGAGACTTAAACGCTTGTTTCCGTGCAGCCATTCTGAAGATGGGGAATGCCATCAAGTCGAAACGGTTCTGATGATGATTAAAATATTGTATATATGTGTCTAGTGCTGTTCATTGTTATCATAATTTGCCGTTTCTAATGCATTCACCAGAGCTTCCAGATGCAAGATTTACGGTCAAATCACACTGAAAACACCGGTTCTCGTTCGATCACCGAAGTTAAGCAACGTCGAGCTTGGTCAGTAGATGGGGGACCACCTGAGAACATTGAGTACTATAACAACCTTCTACAATCTGAAATATTTTTGCAGCTTTAAATAACTTACGAACGGTTGATAAGCCGTAAAAAACACAAAATCAATCCCAGATGTAAAACAGATCTTCGAAGGTCAACAACAGTGTTAGTAATAGTAGTTGTTCATACAATAAAATTTGAAAGAAGAAGAAAGTAGCTTTCTAAATTTCTCTTGAAGTATTTCTAAGATGGTTGAAAGCAAGCGAACGGAATTATCACGCGGAACAATACAATGAGTTTTAGAGTTTTATTTATCCGCTTAAGAACGTATTGGAGACACGGATACATTACCACTCTGCATATATTAAGTAGTACAATGCTATATTACTGATTTACTTAAACAGTGGAGTTCAGTACACTCACAACAGTCATCCGTTATCCGAGGATCGTTCGTTTATAAGAGCGAGTGACCACTGACAGCAAATCAGCAAAGAGCTCGACAAATACGCTTTTAATGAGATGACAAGTTTTAGCGTTAAGTTCCCTGCCACATGAGGAGAATTCCATCTGCTCTTTCTATCTCAAAACTAGTAAACTTAAAAATAAAGGCAACTGAAAAGAAACATTGTGTGGATTTTATTTCGATAGCGGTCAAAATACTGTTTGCCAAGTAGAAGTTGTTTTCTTTATGAGTGTGTGTGTGTGTAAAGGCAAAAGATTCAGGGTTAAAAAAAAATGAAATGAAACGTGAAATTGTTTTCGCGCCACAAATTGAATGGGAAAAATCGCTATTAAATTGATATTACATTTGTTAAAGAAATGGTCGGTGGGACAAAATTTAAACTGATTTTTTTTTGTGATTTCTCTTCAAAAAAATGTCTACAGGTTTCTTTCATTTATTTTGGCAATTTAAATTATTTTTTCTTTTGGACAAAACCCCAAGACGATTACGTTCACTATTTTCGTTTTTGTAAGAGACAGAAATGTGGTTTTACAGAAAAAGGCAGAGAATGTCATGGCCTGAACATACAAATAAGGAAGAAGTTTTATGGAAAATAGAAACAAAAAGGACGTTTTATACTTAAGAAAGAAAGAATTGAAAATTCTAGGACACATAATGAGGAAAGAGGGCTTGAAGAATTTGACCCTCACAGGATATATTATAATATAAGAAGGTCATATGAAAGCAGCGAAAAAACTAGCTAATGTGCTTGTGCAAATAGATGGCAGAACAGGATTTAGGAGGGATAGCAAAAAGAAACCTTACTAAAATCTACAAGGAACAGGAAGTTATGGAGAACTATGATCGCCCACGTCCTGAAGAGACACGGTTCATAGATAAAGAAATATTTTTCTTATTGTCTAAAGAGGCCGCCTCCAAGCCTGTATCGTAGTTGAGATAATTATGTATTTATCTAAAGAGCTACGGGTCGGTATTCGAGTCTAGGTAAAAAGCTATGATTTTGAATACAAATTTAAAAAGCTAAGCTTCACGTAGTCAGTCCTGGGGTGAAATTCAGAGACACACTTCTAGGGTCTCAGTATATCAGCGAATAGTTGTATTTCAAGACAGACAGACCCTTTAAAAATTCGTCTTTTTAGGGGGCTTTGCGTTGGACGAAGTTAAGTTTAGTAAATATGATAGACATGTAGAAGCAATTACCGTATTATGATTACAAATACGACAGTTTCTTTTAGGCTGTGTGCCAAATAAGAAATGTGGACAGAAAGGAAGCCTTAACGTGGTGTACTTATTAACAATGTAGTTCTATTACAACTGTGGAGCGTTGAGTCCTATCTGAATATCTCTCGTTTGTTATTTTCTAGCTAAACGAGTCATAAATTAGGGGTGCTAACAATTGTTCTGCGGTGAATCAGAAATAATTATTACAATCTTAACCTCTTCAAGTCTAGTGTGAACAGTTATCTACTTTCAACAAGATCATTCATTAACCCTCTACCTTGAGTGGCTCTTAGGTCTTTCAGTTGATAAGAAATAGTAAAAAAGGAGTGATTACACTGTTACCTTTGAGGAGTGTTGCAGATAAAAAAAACGAAACAATAAAATAGAATAAAAATACAGGTAGATACGAGCTAGAATCATAAAACATAGCTGAAACAATGTACAACTACACCATGTAGAAAGCGATATATATATATATATATATATATATATATATATATATATATATATGTGTGTGTGTGTGTATATATGTATATAAAATATAATATACACCATGAAGTGTGTGATATATATATATATATATATATATATATATGTATATATATATATATATATATATATATATATATATATATATATATATATATATATATATATATATATATATATACACAAAATATGAGTATACCATGAAGAAAAAAATATATACATATATATATATATATATATATATATATATATCAAGTGTGTATATATATATGTGTGTATGTGTTTATGTGTCTGTGTGTGTATGTGTGCTCACGCCTGCGTGTTTGCATAAAGTAAGAGTGTATCAGCTTACAACACCTCAGAGTAAGTAACCTTTGCCTAGAGAAGAAAATAGCAAAAACTCACTTTGCAGAACAATATAAACTCCTAAACAAAAGTACAGGACTCATTTACAAATGTAGGCTTGAAAAGAAATTCCTACTACACTACCTACAATCATATCAGAACTCAAAGGACCCCAAACTAATAACCCATAGCCTAAATTTAATCAAATTTATTTCAAATACTAAAATTTAAAACCGAAGGAAGTTTTCAAATCTAAATAAATAAGTAATAATAAGAAACAAATAAGCAATTTCAAAATCAGGACGGCAAATAATCTAAAGTATTAATCCTAAAGAAAAAAAATGTACGGAAACGAGTTCGTCTTTTCCAGCATATTCCATAAGTCTTATATTTACCTATATGTTGATTTAGATTTGCAGTGTTGATTTCTACGTTTTGATTGGTTCATTTTTACGGCTTATCAACCTTTTGCAACTTATTTTAAAGCCAGAAAATATTTTTAGTATTTAAGTATCTTTTATAAGTAATAATGATTTACTGATGAACGTTGTTGCAATGGCATATTTCACTCTCCCTATTACCTACTATAAGTAGTGTGAACAAGACATACCTGAGACCAGCTTTGGGAAGTGCTAGCCTATTCCCTGTCTTTCAGTAGTGTATTCTCTTTTACAATAAATCCCTCTTTCTTCCATCTATGTCCGTGTTGCTGTTCCTTTCACACGAGTACCACCTTTGTCTATTTGTAACCTCTTTAAAAATACAACACACGTCCTACTAATTAACCTATAACTGGGTGAGAAGAGGCGGGTTCATAAGTTTCCCAAGTGCATATAACGAACCGGACTAGAATTGGAACCCAGCTCTCCGATTTAAAATATCCATCACACCACCTATACATTCACGCTTACAGCAGCAGGTATTCACAAGCGGTCACCTAACTTGATACAGACCAGGCTCGATGTTGCTTAACTTTGATTTCTATGTTTACACTGTCTTACCTATAATGGATCCATCCCCGATATCGAGCAACCTTGTTCCTAAATATACCAAATAGGAAACAGCACACACACACACACACACACACACATATATATATATATATATATATATATATATATATATATATATATATAATATCTAGAGTCCATCTACAAAACTCTAGAGTCGGGATGCTGAAAGTAGCATCAATGAGCTAAGTGATAAATTTTATATTTGTATTATTAAAGTCTGTCACTGTCTTTCTCTCTCACGCCGACACACATACACACACACACGCAAACAAATATATATATGTATATTTTTAATTTTTTAATTTTTTATTTTCTTGTTGTTCAATATATATATATATATATATATATATATATATATATATATATGATATCCCCCTGAAGAGTGGACTGACAGATAAGTGGCAAATTACTCACATTAATCCCCCCATATATATATATATATATATATATAAAATCTGGTGAGTCCATCTACGAAACTCTGGAGTCGGGATGCTGAAGGTAGCATCAATGAGCTAAGTGATAAATTTTATATTTGTATTATTATGTCTCTCCTCTCTCTCAGTCATACACACACACAAACACACAGAGTCTGTCACTCTGTCTTTCTCTCTCACGCCGACACACACACACATACACACACACACACATATATATATATATATATGTATATATATATATATATATATATTGCTGATATCCCCCTGAAGAGTGGACGGACAGATAAGTGGCAAATTACTCACATTAATCCCATATATATATATATATATATATATATATATATATATATATATATATATAATCAGGAACTCAGCAGTTGAATCCGCTACCTTGGTCTCAGCCTTACGGTATCCTCAGGCGATTTTTATCAAATGACCTCTTGACCTCTTAACGTTTTATTTTTTGTTTTTAAAAAAAGAAACTAATGGCCGCTATATTATTATTTTAAAAAATAACTAAACAAACTCACGACATTGGGTCTAATAGAACGGGAGAATGAGGATGTGAAGAAGGAGGAAGAAGAAAAAAAGGGGAAGAGAAGAAAAGTAAGGGTATTTAAGCTAGTAAATCTTAGGTACTTAGGTATTTAAGCTAGTAAATCTTAGATACTCTACCAAACTAGCTAACCATGTGTGGAGTTTAAAAGAAAAAAAGAGATCCGATTGTAAGGTGGAAAATTTTTTTTTTAATTATCAAAGCCTTACAACAATCACAATAATATTTGCAACCTCTGCCCAGAGGAAAAATTAGCAATTATGACATTTACGGATCCAAAAAACGTTTTAAACCAAAAATCTGAAGTCCTAAGTCCTTGCTTGCGTATTAGAAAATTCCTCTTAAGCACATATGAGGCTGGATAAAAATAATGTACATTTCAATTAACCCCGCCGATACATTTACAATACCCTTTCTTTTCTTCTCTTCCCCCTTATTTTTTATTATTCTCTTCTTCCTTTTTCACATCCTCCGCCTCCTCTCTGTCTATTAGACCTAACGTCGTGCGTTTGTT